GAAATGAGTGCGGAAGGTCACGTCGCGATTTCACCCAATCGGAGATGAGATCTACCTGCAGCCAATAGGAATCGTAGGAAAATTAGTAAATGCGTTTAAGCCTATTATAAAGTAGCCAATCAGACTTTTAGACGATCATCTACAAATATGTAAAACTGTATAAATAAATAACTTTCCGAAACTTAACCAAAAGTTAGCAGCATACGGTGGAATGGTTAAAATGAAAGTCCTTTTTAGTTTATTACTGTCATTAGTTTATTGTAACTATGTTATTTCTTATAGTCAAATGTCAAGTGAAGGTCTAAAAGTGTTGGCTACTTTGACATCTACCGAACGTCTCAAAGTTACCGATGAATTTTTGAAACCGATTTTGATACCTCGAGTTTCTGGTACGGAGGGAAATGTTAAAGTACAAAAATTTATTATTTCAGAATTTCAAAAATTAGGATGGAATGTTGAAGAAGATACGTTTAAAGACACAACACCATATGGAGAAGTATTATTCAACAATATAATTGTAACGAAGGATATTAAAGCCAAAAGACGACTAGTCTTAGCAGCTCATTTTGATTCAAAATATTTTCCACCGCCAAATAATTTTGTTGGAGCTACTGATTCTGCAGTTCCATGTGCGATGTTAATAGACTTGGCTCATCGATTAAATCCATATTTTCATAATAGAATTGATAATGATCTCACACTTCAAATTATTTTTTTTGATGGTGAAGAAGCGTTTAAAACCTGGACAAGCAATGACTCACTTTACGGATCTCGGTATGATTATAAAATAATCTTTAGAAAAAATAATTAACAATTATTAATATATATATTTTTTTATTTTTATTTTTTAAAGTCATTTGGCAGCAAAATGGGAGACTACATATATGATGACGAACAGTAATCCGGATAATAAAGCCAGAAACGTACTTGATTCAATCGATGTATTAGTTTTACTTGATCTTCTAGGCGCGGCACAACCAAACTTAGTAAATTTTTTTAAAACCACTTCATGGATGTTTTCAGAGCTTTCGAAAATAGAAGCTCGACTATATGAGGAAAATATATTTGATCCTATTAGTCCAGAAGAATTATTAGAAGTTTCTTATTTTGATGTAGATTCAATAAATTCAAATCTTGGCCATATTGAAGACGATCATATGCCATTCTTAAAAAGAGGTGTTCCAGTTTTACATCTAATTGCATATCCATTTCCAACTGTATGGCATACTGTTGCAGTAAGTATTTTTCATACAATTTTTTTTGTAACTCTTCTTTTTTTTTTTACATACGTCATTTACTAATAATGATTGACTTGATAGGATAATATCAATGCTATTGATAATGGTACAGTATATAAATTGAACACTGTATTCAGAATTTTTGCTGCCGAATATTTAGGCATTGATCCGTCATTACCCGCTAGACCTCATGATGAATTAATATAATGATTGTAGTAAATTAATGATTAACAATTATTCAAAAGAAAAAAAACAATTATAGATAGTGTTAAATACTTTAGAGGTAAATCAAATTATTAAAATACAATATATTTATTAAAAGGTATTATTCTCTCCGTAGGCATTGTTAAAGAACATCAAATGTATTCACAAATCTTTCAGTTCTACAGATGGAGTGATGAAAAAGAAATTTTTTTATTTAAGATTAAAGTGGTGTGATTTTTTAATTAAAGAATTATCCAATAGGCTGTCTTTTTGTTTTTTTTATCTGATTGTGAAGTCTTTTGAATCTCGAAAAACTGAACCTGGATGTTAACCAGGTAGTAAAAGAAAAAAACCAGAAGTTAGAATAAAATATCTCATATCGACTTCCAAATTACACAGCCCAGAAATACGTATTCAGTTTTTTTTTTAAAAAACATTCTTCATTTTTTTATACAATTCAGAATTAGCATGGTAATTGTTACATCATAATACATTGGACTATTAGCTGGGCGACTATTATAATATTCAAAAAATACTACCTTAGATACGCACAAGTAAGAATGAGGATCTCATCAGACTTGAGAAGTAAAATCTAAAGTAAAAGACCATTAAATATTCTTTTCTTTTTTTTTTAAAGACGTTTAAATTAAAAAATCGCGATCATTTTTTCAATTTGATTTATTCATCAATTATTATATTTCAGAATTTGATAGTACATTTTTTTTTGAAATAATCATTTCGCATTTAACAATTATTTTTCGAGTAACTTGGACACAGAATCCTCGAACAAAAAAAACCGTACCTATTTGTGCCTAAAATCTATATAAAGTGCTTAATTAAAACTTACCTTAAATAAAAAATGGGAGAATAAAAATAAGCTGTTGGTCAAAAAGGCGGCTCTTGCTAAAATTTCTCTCATAAGTGTGTACGTACGTACGTAATTATTTAATTTGTTGAAAGAAATCAATCACGCTGCCGAAACTAATAGTTAAAAATTCATTTAATTGGTTTACAATTACACCCAATCAAAAATGGTTTTCAATTTCATGTGATGATTTTGATGATTATGTAGTTGTCGAGATACTTTGCTTAACGCTTTAAAAAAAAAATTAAACCACCTCTTTCTTATAAACTATATGAATGCGCAGAATTCAAATAAAGAATTTTTATCGAATTTTATCAGGCGGGCATTGAGATATTTTGCTCAAAATGTCTCGATAACTGCCTAATTAAATTCTATCAAAATTTTTTATTTAAATTCTACCAACATACAGAATTCAAATAAATAATTTTCATCGAATTCATTTTAACGATTAATGATGATAATGTATCTGGTATTTGCGTGACACAACGCCAATAATTAATTTAGCCGAAGATTTATTAAAATAAAATTATACGTACCGTAAATCGTATTCGGTTAAATTAGTTATTAACTCGCTTTTAAATCGTCTCGAAATAACGTCCAAGGCATAATTTCTGTAAATACAGTAGAGGCCTGCAAATTCCTAATTTTGCAGCCCAGGCCCGCCCGCAATTAGGGATAAAAATTTTTTGCCAGCCCGGCCCGGCCCGCATTAATTAATTTAAATTTTTAGCCCGGCCCAGCATGCATTACAGCTGTTTTCATAAATTCTGGAAAATCTGCAAAATTGACCGACCGAATATTTTGCCGATTCGATAAGTCTTTGATTCGGCAGTGATAAACTTCTGATCTGTGATTATTAATAATAAATAATAGGGGAATTTACATATAAGGGCCCGAAAAATAAAAATAATTACAAATAAGGGCCCAAAGTGAAAAATAATTACATATAAGGGCCCAAATTTTGAAAAATTTTACAATCA